TGAAATATTATTTAATATTAAAAGAATTAAAGGGTCAGGTGTCAGAGAGATAGTACAACAGGAAGGGTGCTTGCTTTGCACACAGTCCATCCGGGTTCAATCCCCAGCATCACATATGGCCTCCTGAGTCCACTGGAGTGAGCCCTGAGTGCAGGAGTGCAGAGCCAGGAGTAAGCCTTGAGCATCACTGGGTGTGGCTCAAAAACAAAACAAAACAACAATAACAAAATAATGAAAAGGTCATATATTACCTGAGATAGCACATTTGTCTTGTATCTGGTTGAACCCAGTTCAATTCTTTGAGCACTATGAGGAGTGACTACTGAACACAAAGCTGGTGAGTAGCCCTAGAGCAACAATAGCAGACAACAACAGCAACAAAACATACACACACTCTCACACAAACACTCACACATACAAAACGAACACACCAAAAAAAAAGAGCTAGGTCTAGTGTTAGCGATGTGACTCAGTGGTAGGGTGCATGCTTCAAATGTGTGAGGACCCTGGTTCAATCCTTGGTATTGAGTCTACCTGCCTCCCACTACCAATAGAATTACTACAACCTAGGTTATCAGAAGAGGAAACCCTGGAAAATGCTTCCAGATTGGAATATGGACCAGGGAAGTGGTCAAAGAGCTGTTTTGCAGCTTCCAGGCACAAGCACTGCATTCAGTCCACAGTAACATATGCTTCTCCAAGCAACTGGGGCCCTCAAACACTACTAGTACTCTAAACTAAGATTTGAAATGGGACCAGTACAGGTAGTCCCACTAAGACTGGTGTAATTGAAATAAACCAGCAAAATACTTGCAAGAATTAGAGCTTAATCTCAAGTATTCTTATATCTGTGAAATATGTTCCTGAGATTGGATAAAAGTGAATTATGGGGTGGGGCCGGGGGGAGAGGAAAAGGAGGGAAATAATACAGCAGGTATGGCACTCGCCTTGTATGCAATTGACCCAAAGTTGATTCCCAGCAGCACATGGGGTCCTCTAAGCATTGCCAGTAGTAACCACTGAGAACAGATGCAGGAGTAGGCAAGCCCTGAGCACCACCGGACGTGGCCACCAAAACCAAATTTAAAAAAATAAAATAGACATTTTAGGGCTCAAAGAGATTGTACAGGAGAGGGTCACTTGCCTTACTTCCACGTGCATTCATCAGCCATGACCCCAATTTGAATTTCTAGTACCATATATGGTTCCCAGAGCACATCCATGAGTCATTCCAGGGGACAGAACCAGTATATAATCCCTGAGCACTACTAGGTGTGACCCCAAAACAAATGCATTAATAAATGGTATGTTAAAATGAGATACATTTTATCTACTTGCTTTGCAAAGACTTATGATAAAGAATTATGATAAAGCCTAGTATTATTAAGGGTTGCAAGATGAATATTCTCAAACACAGCTGGTGGGAATATAAATAGTAATTATAGGAGGACAATTAATTTGGGGCAAAGGAGAAATCTCAAAGGACTAGAATGCATGATTTCCTTGAGGAAGTCCCAGATTCAATCCCTGGGACCTCAGTTTTTAGTGACCCCTGAATATTAAAAGAGTAACCCCTGACACTACCAGGTGTGGCCCATAAAGAAACAAATGATATATGTATATATATAAATATATAATATATAACTTTGACATTTTAAGATTTTTATACTTTTGTCATACTGATATAAGTATTTATTTACTTTTTGGTTTGGTGGCCACAACTAGTGATGCTCAGGGCTTACTTAAAATACTATATTTGAGAAACCAGGAATGTAGCTCAAGTTTTAACTCATTTGCTTTGTATGAGGCCCTGGGTTTAATTCTGGACACAGTAAAAGACAAAATCAACAATTATTCCTATCTTATTTTATTTTATTTTTTTTTATGGAGAGGCACTCCTGGCAGTACTCAAGGACTGTGAGTACTCAAAAATTGCTGGCAATTTGTTACCTGACAGTGATTACTCAGATATGTGTTGGTTACATGAAAGAGATTCACTATCCAAACTAAATGAAGATCCAGATTATCTCTTTCCTGTTAACAAGGCACATGGGTATCTTTTGCTAATAGCACTAGGTCTCACAAAGTACCTGGTTCCTCTCCTTTGCTTGTTCATAATCATATTTACATAGTTATTTATTTAGCCAGACACAGACTTAGTACTGAAGATCCAGTAATGTGCTTTTCTTTTTGCATGACTAAAGAATTGGGTTTGGGATGCCACATCCGCCGCTGTTCACAGGCTACTCCTGACTTTGTGCTCGGGGTCATCACTCCTGGCAGTGTTTGGGGAACTATAAGGCGCACTGGCAATCAAACCCTGGGTGCATGAAAGCCGGATGATAGTGCATTACCCCCTACACTAGCCCTCCAGTTGTTTCCCTTCTCCACCGCCAGCAATGCACTTTCACAGAATTTGAATGGGATATTGAGGGTAGAGAGAATAGAAGAACTGTGTTTCTTTTGTTACTGTTGTCATTGTTGTGGAGATCATACCCAGCAGTGCTTCCAGGGGCCACACAGAGCTGGCATCAACACCCAGGTCCCCAAACATGACTTGCAGGTGGATCTATCACTTAAGCCACATCTCTAGCACAGGAAACATGTTTCTTGTCCTTGTCGCTTCACCATGTTAAGTCCCTACTTAGAGCTATAAGCTCTTCTATATCCTCCCCCATATTCTCCTATATGGCCTTTTATTTTGGTTGTTTTTGGGGCACAGCCATTGGTTCTCAGGCCTTACTCCTGGTTCTGCACTCAGGATCACTCATGGAGGGTCCAGGAGATCACATGGGTTGCTAGGTCAGCTGGGTCAGCTGCATGCACTCTGGCTCTCTCCTCTTACTACTTTGCATTAGGTCCCCTTGACCTAGTACTAGTTTAATGAAGAATTAAATCTCCTACATTTCTCTTACAATAGGGAATTTCTGACAATTACTGTGTTTGGCGAGGACTCAAATCTAAAATTAGCATTGGGCTGAACCCCTGATTCATCACCGAGCTGATTATAGAAACGGTAATGTATAAAGACAACTTCTAGGAGATGCCAACCATGAAGAAATTATTTTCTGAATTAGTTATTTTGTTTCTCTTTGGGTAAAGGATGAAAACTTTATTATTTATTTTTTGTTTGATGGGGCTGGAGTGATAGCACAGCGGTAGGGCATTCGCCTTACAAGCGGCCAACATGGCCTACCCGAGTTTGATTCCTCCGCCCCTCTCGGAAAGCCCGGCAAGCTACCGAGAGTATTTGATATGCCAAACACAGTAACAACAAAGTCTCCAATGGAGACGTTACTGGGCCCGCTCGAGCAAATCGACGATCAACGGGAGGGCCTTTACCTTTTACCTTGTTTGATGGGGAGGGGTAGTGTCACATTGCTTAGAGCTTACTATTGGCTCTGTACTCAGGGCTCACTCATGGCAGTGCTGAAAGACCATATGCAGTTTAAGGATTGAACCCCTGTCAGCCCTATGTGTGGCAAGTGCCTTACTTGCAGTATGATCTCTTCAGCCCCACAATGCAAGCTGTAAATATAAGAAAACAAACTGCTTCCTGCAGACATTAATTCATTAAATGTTTAAAAATTAGTTAACGGGGGTTGTTGGATGGACTAGAGGTGACATAATCTTAGGAATTTGGTGGTGGTGGTGTGCAGTAATTTTGTACATCAATATCATAAATGTTAACATTATTGTAATTATGTTACCTAAACAATTTTTAAAAAGACAAAAAAATTGATATCTCACTTCATGCCTAGAATACTGCATTTTAGTTAATCAAAGGGCCAGAGAAAAAGTAAAGATGCTCACATTGCTTGTAGCCAATCCCCAGTTGATCTTCCAGCATGCCCCTACCCCCTACTGCTTACGGTCCCCCAGGTACACCACTGGAGTGACCCTGAGCACCATTGGGTGTATTCTCCCCCAAATAAGAGGACCAAAAAATATTGTGAAGCTCTGTAACACCATTAACAGTTTCTCCACTTCATCTCTTCATCACTCACCCACCTCCATCTTTCACAACTAAGTCATTTCTCACCTCCCTGAACACAGGGATCTAATCAGTCCATACTGATTAGATAGAGGGTATAATCAGCCATGCTCTTGTCACTAAATTTCCTTATCCCTGAACTTTCCCCCACTTCCATTTTTTCTGTTCTTCAGTTTAGACTTTCCTGATGCTCGATTGTGGCTTGCAGAGCTGCTGGAGGAAACAGTTACTTCTTGTTCATAAAACTCCAGCAGGCTGCAACTTTAGATACAGATCATCTGTAGGTAGAGCCCTGGACCGGAGGGAGGAAGGTTTTATTCCCAGTCAGGAGGCAGATTTGTGAAAGAATTGGTGTATCACAGAGACCAAGACAAGGAATATAAAATCTAAGTGCATACTCGCTATCTGCAACACATATAGACATTTGAAGGAGATCTTCTTGAACGAATCCGTTTGGCAAGTAGCAGAGCGGCCAGGAATGGTCACCTGTTCGGCCACAGGCCTACTGCCCTTAGGAAAACATCTCAACAAGGTGAAGCATGGCTGCCCAGGGAGGAGTCTAGCCCGAGGTTAGCAGCTTCCAAAGACTTGATGAGAGAGGCCGACACCGAGACAGCGGCACTCTTCTAGCATGTTAAATATATGATAAACGGGAGTTTTTTTGTGATTTGTTGGTCCATTTATTTGTAAATGGCAGCGAGTGACGGAAAGCCACGCCCACTCCTGAGTTTCTCCGCACAACCTCTCCGCATAAAGGCTTGCCTCTACTCTCGCGAGAGCCTTGGCGCTCTTCCCTCCCCGCCCCGCCTCCCCGCTGTGGCGGGAACATCCCGGAAGTGACGCCCGTTCTGAGGCGCTGTAGCTGTCGGAAGTGACGTCATGTCCCAGAATCCCTGGAGAAGAAGCTCGTTCACGCGTCCTGCAGTCTAGCGTGGAACGCTTAGCAACGTGGTTCGGCTCTTTGCGGGAGCCGCGCGCGCGCGTGTTCTTGGCCCGCCCGGGTCTTGCGGGCCTCTGGGGGGGGGGGGGCCGCAACATTTTTTTTTCCCCACCGGTCTAAATTCGTGACGGGCGGCGAAGCGCCCTGAGCCGGCCTGACCATGCTGGTGCTGTTTGAGACGTCCGTCGGCTACGCCATCTTTAAGGTAGTGGGGGCGATGGAGCCCGCGGAGGGGGTAGTGGGGAGCGCCTGGGTGTAGGGCAGGTGAGAAGAGGGCTAGGACCCACCACCCGGAGATGCATCGGGGGGCCCTCTCCGCCTCCGTGCCCTGAAGGCAGGGGGGGTGGCCTGGAGCCTGGGAGACGCGTTTTTCCGGAGAGCACGTGGCCCTGCCGAATGGGGCGTGGGTTTAAGTTTAAGAGCGTTTGCTGCGTTCGAGAGCTGAGGGGGACTGTTCGATTATTACAGGTCGTGTTGAGGACTGGGGGCTCTATTGTGCGGGCTTTGAGGAATTACCGGAAGGTTTTTTTTTAATAATAGAATGGGCAGATAATGTGTTCTTCAATGAAGTTACTTTGCTTCAGTGGCTGCTCATGGGCTCTGGTAGGAAGCAGAACCCCCCTCCCCCCACCCCCCCCCACACACATTCAGTATTTCATTTGGGGCCGCAACATGACGTTGATGTAAAAAGATCCAGAGAATTCGGGCGGGGGGGGGAAGGCGCAACACTCGGCAGTACGCAAGGCTTACCCACAGCAATGCTCAGAGATCACGCCTTGTGGGAGCCGGGGGACCATGTGGGGTGCCGGGGATCCAGTGCGATTTAGCTACACATAAGATAAACACCTTTCCCGCTGTTAATAGTTCTCCCCCGCCCCCCCCCCAGAGTATTTAGTTTTTTTTTTTTTTTTTTTTTTTTTGCTTTTTGGGTCACACCCAGCAATGCTCAGGGGTCACTCCTGGCTCTGCACTCAGGAGTTACTCCTGGCGGTGCTTGGGGGACGATATGGGATGCCGGGGATCGAACCCAGGTCGGCCGCGTGCAAGGCAAACGCCCTACCCGCTGTGCTGTCGCTCCGGCCCGGCATTTTTTTAAGGTAGAACTGACAGGATTGGCTAATGGATTCAAAGTGGATTTTGGCTTTTAAGACGTTAGTGCAGTGATCAGAATGAAGAGGAGAACCAGGCTGTGGAATGTTTGCAGGGAGACGAAAGACTTCATCCGTTGTGATGCGTTCCGTGTTACTTATCTTTGGGCTGGGCCGTTACTAACTGCCTTTTTGATTTTACCCGGGAAAAGTTGCTGGCTGTGTGGTGATTCCCTTGAGAATTAACTGTCTATGTACGTAAAGTTTGTGATGAAAAAGTTAAAAAGAGCAGGGAACCGTTTGAATAGCGGGACTTTGGCGGGGGGGGGGGGGGGGGGGGGGGTGAAAGCAGAAGTGTTCGTGCTTGCTGAACCCTGCCAGGAGTGATCTTTAAAGAGACAGGAGTAAGTCTTTCATTGTTCAGTGTAGTATTCTAGTTGTGAACCCAGAAATCTGGCACAGAAAATCCGGATCTTGATGTATCGAATTTAGTGAAATGTTGATTTGAAGAGCCTTTCTTTTTCTCCCAATTTTCTCTGATATTTGGAAATGAGTGTTTTCACTTTTTTCTTTTTTTTCACTTTTTGGGTCATTCCCAGAGATGCACAGGGGTTATTCCTGGCTCTGCACTCAGGAATTACTCCTGGAGGAACCATATGGGATGCTGGGAATCCAACCACGGTCAGCAGCATGCAAGGCAAATGTCATACCTGCTGTGCTGTAGCTCCAGCTCGGGACTTTTTTTTTTTAAGGGCTCCTTCTTTAGAGCCTAGCAAGTGTCTGTTTTTCTTTTCCATTAGATTGATGGGGGAAGGAGATCTATTGTGATTGGAATCTGTATCTACAGATGAAGTTCATTCAAGTTTCTTTTATGTGTTTTAAATTAGAACTTATATGTTATAAAAACTTAAGTTTCTGAAGAAGGTTGACCGAAGAGGAAGGGGCAGATTTTGAACAGTCATGGTTGCTTCTGGCGGGGTATGCATTGGTCTAGCAATATTACTGTTTCAGGAGCTGGCTCAAAAATACTCAGCTGTGGCTTTTTGCAAGTAAATTTTTGTTGATAAAGAGTATTCTCCATGGAAAGGTTTGGTTGCAGTTTTCAACGTTATGTGCATGTTACTGTTCAGAAGTGTTAAATGATAGTTTTATGTAACCTAATAGAGAAATACCTGAGGGCTTTAATATGTTGAATATAAATATTATTCAACTTATAATTCTTTTGGAATAAAAGAATTCTGAAATTAAGGGCAGTTGCACACAATTTTGTGAATAAATACCACAAGATAATATAACCTAATAGATACCCAAAGACTTAAATATTTTGAAATACTAACTCGAATAGAAATGTTAATCTGTCAGCTAATTGATTATTTTAGAATAAAAATATTCTGGAGCTAATGGTAGTTGCTCATTTTTTGTAAATATATGTTGCAAATTAGTATGTTTTAAATCTAATAAAGATAAAAATTCTGCCATTTGCATGTGGTTCCCTGAGCACCACCAGGAAGGGATCCCCGAGTATAGAGTCTAGAGTAAGCTCCAAGTGATAGGCATGGCCCCCAAAAGCAAAAATTGGGGGGGGGGTAATGGATAAAGGTCCTGGAGAGATAGCGTTTGCCTTGCACATGGTAGACTGGGTTCGATCTTTGGCACTCCTTCATCCCGCCAAGGAATTAGCCTGAAAGCAGAGCCAGGAATAAGTATTGAGCATAGCTGGGTTTGAGGTGCCCTCCCTGCAGTGGATAAAGATGTAGATTTATATAGCTGTACGACTGAAGCCTATATAACATTGCAAACCAGTTTGGTGTCAATTAAAAACACGTACACTATTTATTTATCTATTTTGGTGTTTTGGGTCATATCCGGCCATGTTCAGGGGTTACTTCTGGCTCTGCACTCAGGAATTACTACTGACTGTGCACAGAGGGCCCATATGGAATGTCGGGGATGAACCCCGGGTTGGCCGAGGGCAAGACAATCGCCCAACCCACTTGTACTATCACTCTGGCCCCCATATACAACTTATTAACCTTTTCCCACAGTCTTTCCAGTGTTGGGATGTGGTTTTACTAGCAATTTTATGTTGTACAAAATTATACTTTTTTTCCTTCCCTCTCTCCCTCCCTCCCTCCCTCCTTCCAACACTTTAGGATTTTGCAGGGGAAAAGGAGTTGTTGCATTTTCTGGAGCGCCTCTTAGCCCTGTCTGTGAGGGTCTTGACTGTTCGTGTTGAGTGATGTGGATGCTGCTCCAATCCAGCAGTGCTTGTAGCCCTTTAGTGTTGGGATTGAATTTGGGGCCTAGCACTGCCTTATATGCACTCTGATTGATTTTCCAGCCTTGATGTTTTTTTATGTTTAACTTTTCCACGTAGCATACTTTTGCTATTATTTGGATGAAGGGTGAAATGGGCTCCTAGGCCAGAGGTTCTGGGACTACCTGCTAACTACTTTGTCCTTTATCCCTATAGTATCTTTCTAGCCCTTAGGCAACAAAGCCCTGAGTAATCAATGCGAAGTGAGATAGGGAGATAACCAAGTGATGTCCTTGTTCAAAAATTCATTCCTTTCTGGTATAGAGGTGGGTGATCTAAGTATATCTGTTACATTGTTAAATGTCTTGGGTTTTTCACAGTGAAGAATTTCAGGGACAAATAGATTTTAATGAGTCTTCCTAGTTTTTTGCTCAGCATCTACAGGTCCATTTTGTGTCTATTCTCCCATTCTCCCGCACCCACTATAATATAAGTTTATTTATTTTTTTTTGCGGGGGGGGGGCACCTGATTGGTGCTCAGGTTTTACTTCTTGCTCTGCACCCAAAGATTGAACCACATGCAAGGCAAGCCTTATTGTACTATATGTACTATCTCCAACCCCTGTCACTTTAAATTTTAAATTTAATCCACATGACTATAAAATATAATGTAAAATTACAGATTATTAAGACTGAAGCAGTATAACATCAGGAAAGGTTAATGATATTGTTAGCTATGTGCTGTACTTGGTAGAGGACTCTTAATTAAAAATATTCATCAAAGATCTCAAGTAGATCTGAGTTTCATGTTCAGTTACTAAATGGGCTACTAATACAACCACAGATGGATGCAGGATAAGAAAACTGGTATGTTAAAGGTTTGGGGGGGTCATATATTTGTGGTAGAGTGCAGATCTTAAATGTATGAGTCCCCAGGTTTGATTCCAAGTGCCTAAAGAAGGAAAAGAATGCTAGTTTAGGGACCAGAGCAATAATACAGTAAGTAGGATGCTTGCTGAACCCTGCCAGGAGTGATCTTTGAAGAGCCAGGAGTAAGTCTTCAGCACTGCTGGATGTACCCCCCATAAACCCCCATGATGGTTTATGATTTTAGAGAGAAAAATAGCTTCCATTGTTTTACGTGTATAATTGTTTTGTCTTTGGGGCTACTCAGCAATAAATCATGGTTACTCCTGGCTCTTCACTCAGGAATCACTCCTGGCAGTGCTCGGGACGCCCAGGATTGAACCTGGGTCAGCCGCATGCAGGGCAAGCACCCTACCTGCTGTACTATCTCTCCAGCCTCAATTTTACATGAACAGTTATGTTGGAAATAAACAGTCATTTAAATATTTATTACAGGTTCTCAATGAAAAGAAACTTCAAGAGGTTGATAGTTTGTGGAAAGAATTTGAAACTCCGGAGAAAGCCAATAAAATGTAAGTAATTTTGAAATTTAGCAGTTAACATTTAAGATTTTTTTGACCATTGTTTTATTTTTTACATGCTACCCCCCCTCCCTTGGTGGGTTAATTTATTTACTTATATTTGCTCACACCCAGCGATGCGCAGGGCTTACTCCTGGCTCATGCACTCAGGAATTACTCCTGGCGGTGCTCAGGGAACCATATGGGATGCTGGGAATAGAATCCAGGTCGGCCGCATGCAGGATAAACGCCCTTCCCGCTGTGTTATCACTCCAGCCCCTGTGGTGGGTTAGTCTATTTCAGAAATAATAAATGTGTAAGCCGTATTACTAGATAGTGTATTTGAAGCATAGTTCTTCTCAATTTATCAGTTGAAGAGTAGGTTGGACGGCACCCTATAACAACTATTTTATAAAGTAATTGGAGATATACTCTGGTTGTGAATTAAGTATAATTTTGTTAAAAGTAGACAATGAAAGGGCTGGCCAGATAGCTGAATGGGCCAGTGTACATGCTGTGCGTTGAGGGTTCCTGGGTTTGATCCCTAGCACTGTATCATTCCCAGAATACCACCAGGAGGAATCCTTATGCAGTGTTGGAGTAGCCTCAGATTACTACCAGCAGTGTCCCCAAAACATGGACTGCAGTCTCTTTGTTTTCATTTTTTACTATTCTTGACTGTGTTCAGGGTTTATGTTCAAGGATCACTTCTGGCAGTGTTTGTGGGGCCTTATATGGATCAAACCAGGGTCAGTTGAGGGTAAGGAAAGTCCCTTACTCCAATTGATTTTTGTGGGGAGTGTATACCTGGCTCTGCTCAGGGATTACTGCTGGCAGAACTTCAGAAATCAGAGAGAGATGGCTGCCAGGGATTGAGCCTGGGTCAGCCATGTGCACGGCAGGTGCTTTGCCCATTAAACTCTCTGGCCTTACTGATTTATTTTTAACTTTGTTTCTTTAAGTGATTGTCAAATGTTTATTGATTCTTTGTGACATCTGCTTATCAGCTCCTTAATAATTGAAGCTATTAGCTAATAAATTCTCAAGTATGCTTGAGTTCTCCAAGTTGTCTGGACCAGAAAGAGTATAATTTTGATTGCCCAAATTAAGAATAATGAATAAATAGTCAGATGTTGACTATTTCTCAACTACATGGGATGAAGATGGTTATTTCACCATGAATTCCTTGGTGAAACCCAATGCATTTGGTGAGTGGGATCCAGAAAGAAGCTAAAGATCTGTTGATATATTTGAATTATATCTATAGATGCCAAGAAGCCCTTTAAAATTTGTTGGAACTAAAAGCAGAACACAAGTACAAGGAAAATACTTGTGTTGGCCATAGGAAACGTACCATTCCCAAATGATGTTCTCTTTAAACAATTAGAGAAACAACATCATTGCTGGAGCCAGGAAGATAGCTCAAGTGTTAGTTGTTTTGGTTCCTGTGTTCAATTCCTGATGCCTCCTTCCCTCTCCCCCCTCATCACTATCAAGTATGTCTCTCTAAGAAATAAGGTGTTCCAGCATTTGCAGTTGCAAAAAGCCAAATTTTGGGCAGTTAAATACCTATCAGTGGTAGAATTGTTAAACTGCAGTATATCTATAAATCTTTTGGAGAAGGGTTAGTACAAAACTGTTTCAGAGTAGTTCGTATGATGCGATTCTGTTTTTGCATTGTCCTTGATGCATGTAGTTTTATGCGAAGTGCAGAGAGATGAACAGGTGCCACTTTGGAAAATTGGAAAAGTTGTAGAAATTATTCTTAAATCATTGCATTTTGTGTTTGTGGGAAGGGACAGGTTGTGCTCTGTTGAGTTGAGAAAATCTTGATTACAGTAACACTTTCGGATACCATGGAAAAGTAGTTTGACTCAGTTTGCTGAGTAAATGCTATCCATTGTTGTCAATGATGTATTGTTGGAACTGAATTAAAGTGATAGACTGCACAATTCGTCACTACCACTGAGACAACAATGAATTGAGCATTTGTTTTAATTCAAAACTGGAACTGGGGAGTAGAATAGGGGTTAAGATGCTTTCTGTATATTCAACCCTGATTTGGCCTTTGGCACCATTTATGGTCCCTTGAGCACCACTGGGTGATGCTGAAAACTTAAATTATGTTGCCCTGTGTTATCTTGCACATAAGTATATGCAGAGGAAGGGGTAAAATAAGTATAATAGGGATAAGGACTGAGAGCAAAATTGTTTGGATTTTTTTTTTTTTTTTTTTAGTTTTGGCCATCCCCGGCTTGGTACCTGAATTGAACCCAGGTCTTCTGCATGCAAAGCATACCCTTAACCCATTGAGCTATTTTTCTGATTCCAGCAAGCTATTTTTAAACAGCATTTGTGCTGGATATACAAATGAATGTGTGAGATTCCTGACCTAAGAGGAACTCTTAGATCTTTTCTCAGGTCACTTCTTATGCCATATAGTAAAAGTCATCTGTGTTCTTTAAACAGAATTTGTGTTTTACAACTTTCTAGTAGTAATCCAACATTGTTAGCTTAACCTTTAGAGAAACACATAAAGAAAAGCTAACTTTGTACCCTGATACAAAAATTAAAGCAAAATTTTTGTGTATGTTTTGGGAACAATTTCAACCTCTTTATAAGATGTTTGCAGAATCAAGATACTCACTTTTCTTTTTTTAATTCTAGAGTAAAGCTGAAACATTTTGAAAAATTTCAGGATACAGCAGAAGCATTAGCAGGTAAAATCAAGGATTTGTTTTTTCAATCTGTTTTTAATCTTGGTCATTTATTTTCTTTATTGAAAATTGTTTCCTTCAGTTGCCTGAGTTAACCTTACTCAATGTTGTCAATGATGTATTCTTTTTGGAACTGAATTTAAGTGATCTAACTCAAATTCGTCACTACCACTGAGACAACATTGAGTTAGCTTTTTTCACCGTAGGCCTGTTTTTTTTCCCCTGAGAGGTGAGAAGTGGTTAAATTGATCTGTGGAAGCCAACAGCACAATGCTGAAGCACAATTCAGTAAAAGCTATTCTACAAGGGCCCAAGGTAATGCAGTCTAGTACAGTGTTTCTCAGCCTTTTTCCCCACTGTGGCCCCTTCTGACCTTGTTTCCTTTCTGTGATGCACCTGTATTTCCTAATCTCCTGATTGACCCTAGTCCTGTGTTGCTAGCTCCCCGCCCCCGTTTAAGCAGTTTTTACTTGTGGCCCTCTTGGAATAGCCTGGTTCCCATCAAGAGCTATTTGTCTCTGGGCTGAGAAATGCTGGTCTAGTACACAGCTTTTTTAGCATTTTAATCTAAAAGTAGCAGTAAGACTAGCCAGGATTCACAGTTGGAGTTATAATAAAACAGCTCTTCGACTGTTTTGTTTATTTTATTTTGAAAAGGTACTATGTTATTAAAGCTATTAGGGGGGAAAAGTTCTTATTTGTGTGGTAGGTTTTTTTTATGATTTCATACGGATGGCTTACCTTCTTTGACTACTCAGTTAACTGTGATATAAGTTCTTATTTGTGTGGTAGGTTTTTTTTTAATTCTAAAAACTAGTTTATCAAAATGGGCCTGGTTTTTAATGATTTCATATGGATGGCTTACGTTCTTTGACTACTCAGTTAACTGTGATATAGTTTATTAACTTGTTTAGTTTCAGTAGGCATTAATTATAATGATTTTTTTAAATGTTAAAATAAGATTCAATATAAAATTCTATCATAGGTTTTTTTCACTTGTTTATATTTTGTGTGACAAATCTGCCAGCTGCTTTGTGATGCGATTTCAAAATGAAGGACTATAGGGTGTGGCTGAAATTGACTAGGACTTGATAGACCCAAATAATGTTGGTGATCAACCACAGAAGAAAGGTGCAACTTAATTTTTCTTGTGGACATTGAAGGACTAGCTAAATAATGGCCGGTTGATACTGGGTGTTCTCTCCTTACTGTTGGTAGAAAGATGAGCTGAAGGAAGACCCCGAAATGACCTGGAGTATTGTGTTCAAAAATAGTCTATTCTAATCTATTGTTGTTTTTATCAACACAATAGTAAGTAAAGACTTTTAGAGTCATAAAGAAAGGCTAGAAACGTTTCGGTGGCAGAGGGATGGTTGATGGAGCCACGCCCAGTGATGCTCAGGACTTACTCTTGGTTCTGTGCTTAGACAACCCTATGTAGTGATCAGACATATGCAATAAGTACCTTACCCACTGTTCAATATTTAGATTTTGTAGTAATGTTTGCCTGGATAATTTTTCACAGTTTTGAAATTAAAATCAGGTGGGCAGAGAGATGACTCAAAGGGCTGGAGCTTGGAGCTTTGCTTGCAGGTGCGCCAGGTTTAATTCCTGGCGCTTTCACATCCCCTTGACCACTGACAGGAAGTGACCCACAAGTACAGTGGGCTGTGAGAAACCCCCTTCTTCCTCAAAAAATATTTTTTTTAATAAAGGTAGAATTTTGATAATTCTGTTTTGGCAAGCAAGGTTGTGTTAGCTTTACTTCCCAGTCTGAGGGGTATTTTTCACATAGAATGGGATTTGAACAACTTCTGGGATTATATGTGAAAAGATGCAACCCTGACTCTAGGTGTCTTAGAAATTTCTTTTTGTGGATCTGGAACGATAATAAAGCAAGTTGGGCCCTTGCCTTTCACTCTACCAGCCTGAGTTCAATCCCTGACATCATGTGTGGTCTCCTGAGCCCTGCCAAGAATAACTCCTTAGCACAACTGAGTGTGACCCCCCCCCCAACAAAAGAAAAGTAAAGAGAACTTAGATGTATCAGAAGTTGATTCGAATGATCTAAGAGTAGGTCTAAACAGCGTTAGGAGTTACTGAGCAGATTTAGAGCTTGCCAGAAGTGAAAGTAATCCCCAAATTTTGTAGACTTTACTTTAAAATAAAATGGAACTTTAAAATAAATACAAACACTTTATGATCTAGATCTGAATCAAATGAAGGTTTGTGTGACAGGGAAAGGACAGCTGCGCTTGGCTTAACATCGGTTCCGGAGCAGAAGTAAGGTGGAAAGGTCAAATGAGAGTGTGACATATGTAATTTGTAGACCATTTTTGTCACTCAGAAGTAATATTAAATTTAGTTTAGTTTTTTTTTTCTTGGAGGAAGTACTTTGCAACGTTTTGAAGCAGAAAAGTTTGCTGTTTATGAGTTAAAAGTTTTAGAGTTGACCCTTGTTTTTGTTTTTCCTGAAAAGCATTCACAGCTCTGATGGAGGGCAAAATCAATAAGCAGCTGAAGAAAGTTCTGAAGAAAATAGTAAAAGAAGCCCAGGAACCCTTGGCTGTGGCTGATGCTAAACTAGGAGGGGTTATAAAGGTAAAGTTAGGGTTTTCTTTCTTGCCTCCTAAAGAAGTTCGCCAGAAGGCATAGTGACTACAAAGTCATGCCACAAGTTGTTTGTCACAAGTTCTCATAGTTAGTCTTCTCTAGGCTATACAACTGGGTTCCCAAACTAAGCATATATTAAAATAATGACAGATATACCACCCAATTATTTTAAGTACCATTTTAACTCTGGCACTCCCCCCACCCCCAGGATTAGGGCATTTATATATATATTTTTATGAAGGGTAGATAGTAAAATTTAAAGTGAATGTGCAGGGTCAGGCTGGAAAAGTAAGCTCCCCAACATGAGAAACAGAATAATTTGACAATTGTGCAAGTTTATAATCTTTAGTTATGATAGATACTACATGCAATCATTTTATTTATGAACATTCTTCTGAAACTTGAAATTATAGTATTGTATTGTAGGCCTTTTGGCTTTGCATTTAGGAATCCTTCTGGTGCAGGGCTCAGGGGACTACATGTGGTGCCAGGGACTGAACCCAGGTCTGCTGCATGCAAAGCAAACCCCCTGAATGCTGTGCTGTTGCTTCAGCTTACCATTTATGGGGTTTTTTTTTCTTTAAACAAGTTTTCGGTCGTACCTGCTGTGCAGGGGTTATTTCTACCTTCACACGCAGGAATTCCTCTGGGCTATACTCGGGATCATAAGGGATGTTTGAAGGATTTTGAGTCAGATTGACAAACTGTAGAATGCTTAGATCAATTACATTATTTTTTCAACAAACACTGAAAATTGCTTTTTATGAGACTAATATATGTGTTTAAATCTGTCATTGTAATACTTAATTCAAGGCAGTTTGTGTTTCTAATCCAAATGTATGTGTTATAGGAAAAGCTGAATCTCAGTTGTATCCACAGTCCCGTTGTTAATGAGCTTATGAGAGGAATTCGTTCTCAGATGGATGGTTTAATTCCTGGGGTAGAGCCACGAGAAATGGCAGCTATGTGTCTTGGATTGGCACACAGGTAAAACTATGCTGAAAGATGAATCACCTTATTTATGTTTAATAAGCAACTATACAGCATTGTTTTAAGCATATTACAATAAGTCATTAAGTCCTCATTTAATCCTCAGACTGGTGTTAGGAAGAGAATTGTATACTAATTTTACAGATGAGGAAGCTGGTGCCTACGTTAATATAGCTAGTAAATGAACAAGCTGGGATTTGAGGACCCAGGCAGTTCTGACTTCATTACCCAGACTCTAAAGTTCATATCATCATAGGTGTTCTCTTTTTGTTGGGACAAAGAGGAGACTCATGGCAGTGCTCAGGGGACATGTGCCAGCTTTAGAGTCCAGTGTTTACTAATGTAGAGCATGCTCTCCAGCCCTGCAAGTGTCTCCCAGTCACTTTTTTTTTTTTTTGCTTTTTTTGGTTCACGCCCGGCGATGTGCAGGGGTTACTCCTGGCTCTACACTCAGAAGTTACTCCTGACAGTGCTCAGGAGACCATATGGGATGCTGGGAATCGAACCTGGGTCAGCCGCGTGTAAAGGCAAACGCCCTACCCGCTGTGCTATGGCTCCAGCCCCCTCCCCTCGTCACTCTTAATAGTCATTTTCTACTCTAGTGTTAAGCTCCTATAATTCTTAAGGTCTTTGCTATTTTCTTTGCTAAGTAAATCATTTGCTACTCCACCATATTCTCAGGTTTTCCTCTGGTCATGCTGCATGATACTCAGGCTTACTTTTGGCTTTGTGCTCAGGAATAGCTCCATATATTGTGCCAAGGATCAAACCCAAGTTGGCCATGCAAGCACCTTGCCTTGTATGTTATCGCTGTTCTTTCCTCAGGTTTTCTTATCTGCACAGGTTTCCATGCTTTGTCTGGGTATGTCTGTGCTGCCTGCTTTATTCTAGTTAAAATGCAAATAAGCATTTCTAAAAAGAAAAACTATTGCTAAAACTAAGTCAGGACTTAAATGTCTGACTCAGTAGCGTGTATAGCACTGTTTTTGTCTTTTTTGTTTGTTTGGGGGCCATACCTGGAGGTGTTTGGGACTTAACCCCTGGCTTTGTACTCAGGGATTATTCTTGGCAGGCTCTGAGAACCGTATGGGGTACTAGAGATCTAGCCCAGCTAGTCAGCTGTGTGCAAGGCAAGCACCCTACGTGCTGTATTATAGTTACAGCCCCTCATATGGTTTATTTCTTATTTATTTTTTTAATTGTTGTGTGTTTGTTGGAGGGCCATACTAGTCAGTGCTCTGATGACCTTGCAGTGTTAGATTTCAGGATGCCAATAGGTTGTGCCAGCCCTTTACACTATCTCCCCAGCCCTAGGAGTGATTTTTTTTTTCCCCCTTTTGGTGTTTGGGCCAGACCTGGCAGTGTTGGGTTACTCCTGGCTCTGTACTTATGAATCACTCCTGGTGATGCTCAGGGGACCATGTGGGAGGCCAGGGATCAAACCCACGTGTAAGGCCCTATCTGCTGTACTCTATCTGCCTCCTGGGCAATGATTCTTAATCTGAAATAGTCTGATATCACTTAGAATTTAGTTTATATGGATCAGGTCCTTATATGGGGCTGTGTAAATTTTCAAAGTTTTAAAATAAATTTCTTCATGATTTTTTTGTTTTTTTGTTTTGTTTTGGGGCCACAGCTGTTGGTGTTCAGAGCTTAGTCCTGACTCTGCGCTCCTGGGCTCCTGGATCTGGTGGTGCTTGAGGACCATATGGGTGCTAGGGTTTAAACCCGGGTTTACCATGTGCAAGGCAAAAATGCCTTACCTGCTTTATTATCTCTCCAGCCGCAAATTTCTTTATGACCTTTTTTTTTTTTTTTTTTTTTTTTTTTGCTTTTTGGTCATACCCGCCGTTGCACAGGGGTTGTTATTCCTGGCTCATGCACTCAGGAATTACTCCTGACTGTGCTCAGGGGACCATATAGGATGCTGGGAATTGAACCTGGGTCGGTCGCGTGCAAAGCAAACGCCCTACCCGCTGTGCTACCGCTCCAGTCCCTCTTTATGACTTTTAGTCACGAAATATGTGTACATGTGTTATATTGCTGCATACTCAGGATCACATAAAAATTTCTTGAATGAAAAAAGGTCACATGGAAAAAACTCTGATTTGCACATTTGGCAACATCTAGAGACACAAGTTAGTTACCAAAATAGAGTTGGGATCAGATACTGATTAGAATCAGTATGGGCCATGGATATTGCTAAATATTTTACAGATCGTTCTCCCATAACAATGACTTAGCAAGTCAATAGTATTAGTAATGACAAGTTTAATAAGAAACCTGTAGGAGGGCCTGAAGCTATCTATATATATATATATAGTTCAGTGGGTGCGCATTTGCCATATATGCGGCTGACCCGGGTTTGATCCCCTGCATCCCATATGGACCTCCAAGCCTCGCCAGGAGTAATTCCCAAGTGCATAGCCAGGAATTGCTGGGTGTGAGCCTAAAAAGCCAAGAAAGAAACCTTGAAGAGCGTCAGGTTCACAAGTTGGGCTGGAGCGCATGTTGGAGTCCCGGGTTTGATCCCCCAGCACACATGGTCAAAGCATCACTTGTGACCCCGCAAAAGGAAACCTTATACAGAGCTTATGTATTCAAGGGAGAGAGCCCAAAAGGCTGGAGTACTTGGCTATGTACTTGCTTATGTATACCGAAACTTCAGGTCCAGTCTCCTACACAATATAATCCTCAAAAATCCTTAAATACTGCTGAGAGTGTCCTTGGGGACACTTTAAGTGCAACTATCACACACACACACACACACACACACTAAAAAATAACATTTTTTCAGATATTAAAGTGTTGCACTTTTGGGGCTAGATAGAACAGTGGGTAAGGCTCTTGCCTTCTATGTGGCTCACTGGGATTTTATCTTTGGCACCCCATATGGTTCCCCGAGTCACTCGCAGGTGTGATTTCTGAATTTGGAGCCTGGAGTAACCCCTGAGCATCGCTGGGTGTGTTAAAAAATTGTTTTTAAATAAAATATTGCACTTTTTTCCCCAGCCGCGGGTATAAAAATACTAATATGTTGTAAAAGTCATATGAGCCATTTTAACTTTTATCACATGGTAGTTACTGTTTGTCATTTCTAATACAGGAGGAAGATAGCAGGCGAAGTGTATTTTTTTAGTGTATGCTTTCTGGTTTTGCATATTGTATTTCTTTTAAGCTTCTTTCTCAGTATAGAAAAGAGTATTTGGAAAGAGATTTAGGTAAAAGTAATTTTAAGATGTTAATAATATGCTTTTCCTGAATTTTACAGTAATTCATTTCCCCCTTTTACCCAGTTTGTCCCGATACCGATTGAAATTCAGTGCAGATAAAGTGGACACAATGATTGTTCAGGCAATTTGTAAGTATGGTTCATTCCAGACTTATCCTATTAATATTCCTCTTCCTACTGTTAAAACTTAAGTTAATAGGTCATTGTCACATGCCATTGAGTGATTTTCTTTAAAAAAAACTTGTCAAAAGCTTAACAGTTTAAGATTTTAAAATATTTAAATAGCAGTTGCATTACTTGCATATATCCAGAAGAACTGAAAGCAGTTACTCAAATATTCAAGATTACTATCAGCCTTAGCTACAAAAATCAAATACCAAATTAATATTCATTAACAGATGAATAGATAAAATATGGCATAAATATATATGTATGAATATAATAGAATATTATGCGGTCCTGGGGCTGGAGCTATAGTTCAGCGGGTAGGGTATTTTCCTTGCACATGGCTGGCCTGGGTTTGGTCCCCAGCATCCCATATGGTCCCTCAAGCAGTGCCAGCAATAATTCCTGAGTGCAGAGCCAAGAGTAACGCCTGTGCATAACCGAGTGTGACCCAGAAAGAAGGGGGGGGGGGGAGAATATTAGGCAGTCCTTTAAAAGTAGTGAAAAATCTTGGGACCGGTGCGACAGCACAGCAGGAAGGGCGTTTGCCTTGTACGCAGCTGACCCAGGTTTGATTCCCAGCTTCCAGTAAGGTCCTCTGAGCACTGCCATTGGTAATCCCTGTGCATTGCCAGGTGTGATCCAAAAAGCAAAACTAAATAAATAGATGTAGTTAAATTCTTATGAAGGCTGGAAACATATTTGAAATTTGAAATCTTGTCCAGTTAATAAGTCAGATTTAGAAAGCCAGTACTGAGGTATTGTGTGTTTCTACTTAAAAGGTGCTGGAATAGGGAAATTCATAGAAATGTAAAACAGAAGAGGATCAGAGAGATACTACAGCCAGGAAAGCATGTGTCACCAACAGTGACCAAGATTCTATTCCCGGGCTTTATATGATCTCCTTAACGTTGTGGATCCCCACCCAACCATTCCCTCTCACTGCAATCCAAGAATACAAAACAGGTTACAAGGACTTTAGGTCAGATGTGAACGTATTATTTAACGAAGACATGGTTTCAGTTTGAGGTGGTGAAAATTCTGAAATGGATAATGTAATAGCTCTACAATACTGTGAAAGTATTTAAATATTTAGATGCCTCTTAAACATACTCTTGACCATGGCCAAAGTGTTAAATTTTATGTATACTTTACCATAATTTAACTTCTTTTAAGGTGCTTTTTTATTTGTTTGAAATCTGTTGCAGCCTTATTGGATGATTTAGATAAAGAATTAAACAACTACATTATGCGGTGTAGAGAATGGTATGGCTGGCATTTCCCTGAATTAGGAAAAATTATTTCAGATAATTTGACATATTGCAAATGTCTACAGAAAGTTGGTAAGTTACTTTATAGATTTAGGTACTGTATTTGTACCTATGTATTGTAATGTAATGTATTTGTATCCTTTGTTTACAATAATTTTTTCCTTAAACACTTCATGGAGGTTTTTTATGACTTGGGTTTTTTGAAATATAGGTATATCCTAATATCTCTTAGATTTTAGAAGCAATAATTACTTTAACTTGCATTTTTATGGCCCAGAAAACATTTTTTTGGGGGTGAGACCACACCTGACAATGCTCAAGGGTTACTCCTGGCTCAGGAATTACTCTCAGTGGTGCTTAGGGGTACCATATGAGACGCCTAGGATTGAATCCCGGTCGTTTGCGCTCAAGGCAGGTGCTTTAAAATGGTTTATTTGGAGTTTTGCGAGATATGACAGAGTTAAGGCACTTGCGTTGCATGTGACTGACCAGAGTTTGCGTCTTGGTCCCATACAAGGTTCTGAGCATCGAGCCAGGAGTATAGTCAAGTTTGGCCCCAAAACTAAAATTTAAAGACTTATTTATGGTAAATATATTTCATAGTGAAAATGTCATTAACAGGGCAACAGACTGACACGGATATCCTAGAATACATTAACACGTTGAAAGTAGTACTGTTTTCCATATTACTAGTTTTGTTAGTAGTAATAAGAGAAATCTAGGGATTGTTAATAACGTCATTAACTTGTTATGTTACCCTCCCAAGTTTCTCTCTAGCTTTAGTATAACTAACTACAGAATCTTAAACATGTTAAGATATCATGAATCTTATTTCTTCGCGTAGCTTTTCTAAATGTAATTTGTTATTTGTAGGGAGGTAGTGGGGAGGTTATCATCAAAGATCAAGCTTTTACATAGAAAAATTACTAGGGGGTTGGAGCGATAGCACAGTGTGTAGGTCGTGTGCCTTGTACATGACTGACCCAGGTTCGATTCCCAACATCCCATATGGTCCCCCAAGTACTGCCAGGAGTAATCCCTGCACTGGGTGTGACCCAAAAAAAAAAGGAAAATTGCTAAGCCAAATTTGTTCGCTTTTTGTTCTGTTTAGGCACCCTTTTGGTATTTTTATTTGGCTTACTTTTTCTTTTGATTGATGGATTTTACATAATTTGTTGAAGAGTGATTCTCTTCAATACTAACATTCCTCCTTCAATACTAACATTCCATAGGTGATAGGAGGAATTATGCCTCTGCCACACTTTCTGAATTACTACCTGAGGAAGTTGAAGCAGAGGTGAAGGCTGCTGCAGAGATATCTATGGGAACGGAGGTTTCAGAAGAAGATATTTGTAACATTCTGCATCTGTGCACTCAGGTAAAATGTACACATTGATTTGTAGTTGTGATGGTAGTGGTGCTATAATCTGATGGCTATGATGATTTAAAAATTACACTTACCTGATAAGTAAATATGAGGGTGTTCAGTCACTACCTCATCTGATGCCATCTTGATTTTTATGCACAGGGAATGTACACTAATGCGTAATATTTTGTTAGCATTGTCTTAATAAGTTACACATTCAGAGTGAATGCTCTCACTTGCCACCTGCATTCGGTGCTCTTGAGCCTGCTGTGTGTGGATTGGATCAGGATGGCTGTTGGGGATGGGCAGGCAAAGGAAGAACAAGAACCATGCCGGTTGCTGATTAGTTGCCATTTATTCAGTCTCTCCAATCTCACACACTCTTTATTCCTCCCCCTTTTTTTCACCCTTCATTCCTAGATTCTTACAGTCTTAGTTTATATAGCAATCACAGTCTTACTTTATATAATAGCAATCGCATAGGGTGGTGATACAAAGGTGGGGTTGAACATAAATCAACAAAGAGAGATAAGGCCACTCCAGGAGATTAACTCAAGGACAAAATCTCATCTAAAGAGATTACTCTGGTTTACTAGGAGATCCACTCAAGGGCGGGATTCCATCCAGGATGTGTTGAGTTCTTCTTTCCAGGATGTGTTGATTTCTTCCTTCCCAGCTAGTAATCCACTTAAAAGTTGTAGTAAATTTACTTCTAATATTTCTGGCAATGTCATTCTGTATGAGAGCACAGTAGGAGATATATCATGCTTAAAGTTTGGTTCTTCCTAAGGGTATCTGTCTCACTGATATTCCAGACCACAATCCTCAGGCCAGGTTGGTTAGTCTTCCTAACCCCAGCAGAGTACTTATGTCCAGTTACCTCTTTGGGTCATGACAAAGTTTGTCCATGAATGTACTCTTATAGTTAAGTATTATGGCACTTGACCTAACCCATTTTGATGTTAAGGTAACTCACAGCTTGCCCTGGGTCCTTTCAGCCCCTTGTTGGGACCCTGCTTTTGGGGTGCTAGGAACTAAGGGCAACTGAGTCGAAAGTACATGCCCAGGGATGAATATTATTGGGAGTCAATTAACTCCCAAGTTACAAAAGCATAATATTAACTGTCTTCCTGTGTCCTTACAGAAAGGACATTGCTTTAAGGTAAACTATGCAAAAGACATAACTTACAAAACAAGGTCAGTGTCCTTAAAACTATCTGATCTTAGAAGCTAAAAGAATCTGATTGATTAGGGAATAAAGTGATTAACTGGTTGGGGAGGAGAGCACAGAGAAGACTTCAGATAAAGGAATGGGAGTGACTTGGGAGCACTGGGATGGGTGTAACCTGATAAACCTAAGTTCCCTGAGGCAAGACTGAAAGGACAAGCCAATGTTTTCCTACACTGCCCCTTGGAGGTTTTTTGCTAGTTTGGTTTTGAGGTCATATTTAGTGATATTCAGGGGCCCCTGAATTGCTAGGGATTGATGACAGGCCTCTCACATGAAAGACAAGTGCTCCATTGTCTGAGCTACAATCCCAGCTCCCTTTGAGTATTTGGTTTTTGTTTTAGTTTCATTTGGAGACCATACTGCTCAGAGATCAAGACCAGCAGTGTTCTGGGGTACCATGTGGGCCAGGGATCAATATCTGAGCTTTCTGCAGCAAAGCATGCAGTATATCTCCAGCCCTCTTGGAATGATTTTGTTGTTTGGTTGTATTTTTTAAAAATTTTTATAGGGCGGGCTTGTTTGTGCCACACTCAGTGGTGCTCTGAGGTTACTGCCGGTGATGATCCAGACCATATGCAGTGCCACGGATCAAATCTCAGGTGGCTGCATGCAAAAGCAAACACCTTAACTGCTATACTGTCTTTCTAGCTCTAAAGTGGGGTTTTTATTTGGTTTTGTTTTTGTCTTTGTGTCCCACCCAGCCACGTGCACAGGTTAACCTGGCTCTGCCATCAAGGAATCTTTCGTGGCAGGCTCAGGGGACCTTTTGGGATACTGGGATCAAACCTGGGTCAGTTACATGCAAGACAAGCATTCTACCCGCAGTGCTATTGATCAGATACTTTGGAAATGTTTTAATGTGATACAGGTGACATGTTATGTGGGGTTTTTATTTGGTTTTGTTTTTGTCTTTGTGTCCCACCCAGCCACGTGCACAGGTTAACCTGGCTCTGCCATCAAGGAATCTTTCGTGGCAGGCTCAGGGGACCTTTTGGGATACTGGGATCAAACCTGGGTCAGTTACATGCAAGACAAGCATTCTACCCGCAGTGCTATTGATCAGATACTTTGGAAATGTTTTAATGTGATACAGGTGACATGTTATGTAGTGTAATTATTTGTTGACATTGTCTGTTAAAATCTTTATAACAGCCGATTTATAGGAAATAAAAGAATAAAGGGTGTTTTTTGAGTTGAACAGCTGCTCTCTAACAATAGATGATGTGAAATATCTTAAGGCATTGGTGATTTGCTCAACTTTGCTCTTTATGCTAGGTGATTGAAATCTCAGAATATCGAACCCAGCTCTATGAATATCTACAAAATCGAATGATGGCCATTGCACCCAATGTCACAGTCATGGTTGGCGAATTAGTTGGAGCACGACTTATTGCCCATGCAGGTGACGGTTTCAATATAATTTGTAAACATGGGTAGACTTTGTTGTTTTCTAGGTTTTTTTTTTATTTTAGTTTATCTTATTTAGGAAATAAGAGACCCCAGTACTTACTAATCTTTAAACTACAGTTATTAAAGAAATTTTAAGTAGTAAGTAGAAATAGGTGGTTGATGGGTAAGGACTAAGGACCAAGTGTTCAATGATGATTTTTGTTTGCATGCCTGATTCCTTTTGGTTAATGAAGGCATCAGTAGTCACTACCTCTTCTGAGACACTAATGATGGTCCATTGTCAGGTTATTGGGGTGGTTGGGGAGAAACTTTGAAAGCCATGCTCGGGGTCATTTTTTGGCAATTCTTGGTTCAGTGGGAGGGTCCTAGAATGAACCCTGTGATTCACAGGCCATTCCCAATGTGGTCAGGGCACCATGTACTGGAAATCAGACTGGGGTCAGGAAGCTGTGTGCCTTAACTCCTCTTTTACTCCATCTTGTTGAATTACTTTTTAATGGTAGGTTTTGAATAATCAGATGAAAGCCAAAGTATTAAATCACTACTATAAATGATTTGTAATATATTTTAATACCTAAATATAATGAGCGATAGCACAGCGGGTAGGGCGTTCGCCTTACAAGCGGCCAACATGGCCGACCCGAGTTCGATTCCTCCGCCCCTCTCGGAGAGCCCGGCAAGCTACCGAGAGTATTCGATATGCCAGACACAGTAACAACAAAGTCTCCAATGGAGACGTTACTGGGCCCGCTCGAGCAAATCGACGATCAACGGGAGAACCTTTACCTTTACCTTTACCTTTACCTTTACCTTTACCTTTACCTTTACCTTTACCTAAATATAATAATATTGTTACTTTGCTGTGCTACTAAAAGCTATCCACTTGAATACTCGGAATGACGTTTCACAGAAGATTATCTTTGTTTTTGAATCACACCCAGTGGGTGCTTGGGAGACCAGTGCCAGGGATCAGAATTATAATTTTTTATTTTATAGAGTAGTTCACAATACTTGATTCCATTTAATCAAAAACCAATCCCACCATTATTACACCTTCCCACTGCCATATTTTGGATGTTTCCATCCCGAACCCCAAAACCCTGCCCCAAAGCAGAGTAAAATAATATATTTTGTATTGTTATGAAAAACCGCTGAGAATGCTACAATAAAGTATCATTAGAGGAAAGAGAGTGAGGATTGTTATATTCGACTGAGGGGCGATTAGGCCCTTCTATAAGAGACCACTAGCACGTTGTTAGAAGTTGAGCCATGTGTGCTTTTATGTATATATCTGTTAGTATGTTTCCCTCTAAGATTGGTTGCCTTCTACTTTGAACTTCATCAAATGTGTTGTGGTACTCTTGGTGTATTTGGGTAGGATGTGTGGTATGAAGTGTCCAGGAATAGGTTCCCTGTGGAGAACGGCCGTGAGCATGGAGGTGGTTGAGTTCTGGAGGTTTTCACCTGCTGGGGCTGGATCCCTCGGGGTGGGGAGTGCTCTCGCCCGCCCCCCTCTGGAGCGCCCGGAGTGATAAACAGTCTGGCACAGGATCTGGCGTCATGGTTATGGCTCAAGGCTCCTCCTACCTTTAAAGTATGTGCTCTAGCTCTACTTTGATCCATTTCCCCTACTCCCTCTCACAGAAGATCTTATGTATTGACTACTCCAAAGTGTTCAGAAGAGCTCCTTTAGTTGAATCAATCAGACATGTATTCCTTTCAAATACCCTCAGATGCAAGATTCAGGTCGTTGGGGCTAGTTTATCTAGATCCAAAACTTCAAAGTTTAGGTAAATTTATAGCTGTAAGAGATAAAGGGTTTTGAGGGCACATACTTGGCAGGATTTAGGCCCTCTCCCCCCCATTAGCTATCACTAGTCCCTAGAGTGAACGATAAACTTTTAACATCTGGTGAGCACTTTTAGTGGATCTCCTGAACATGTCTTCCTTTGGACAAATAAAATGTGAGAATTTTATCACATGGATGGTTCCTTTTCTTTCCCTAATATTATTTCTATAAAGTTCATATTAATTTATTATGTTCATATTAATTGATTACGTTCAGTATTTCGACGCCAATCCTACCATTTTGAATTTTCCCACCGCCATTCAAGCCTGCCTGCCAGGGATATATACTAATTTATTTTCTATTACTTATGAATACCATGAGAGGTCATGAAGCCACAATAGTGGCCTTGCACTTCTGGAATTCTAAAATTGTAAATGGTTGGGGTCCAAAGACATCTCTGTAAGGAACTAATCCATTTTGAGATTTATTTAGGAGTCTCTGGATCAAGGCTACTGATGTGCTGAGATGGTGCCCAGAGGCAGATGGTGGATGTGACAGCCAGGGCCCCAAGTGGGCGGGGAGATGGGAAGGGATGGCCTCCCACTGCTGTCATGTAGCCTGGAGCCTAAGTCTTTGAATCTGCATACCTGAGTTTTGCTTCTGGAAGTTTATGGCCACTGTGATTTTGTCTGGAGTGGGCGGAGAGGGCACACCCACTTCATCTGAGGTACCCCAGTGGAATTGGCTCGGTATGGGGTTCAGAGAGATCTCCAGCGAACTGCTGTTTTCCTACATACTTGGTTCTACAAAGATGTCCTGACTGTTTGGTTCTTTTGTTTTCTGTATCTAAAGTAGAATATTTGGTATCAAAATAAATGTCAGCAAATGGTGATTTTATGAGGCTGAAGAGAGTATAGCAGGTAGGGCTCTTGCCTTGCACATGGCCAACTTGGGTTCTATCCCTGGCATCCTGTATGGTGTGTCCCACTCCACCTCCAAACACAAAAGAAGTGATTCCTGAGTGTGGAGCAAGAAGTAACTCCTGAGCAGCACCAGGTGTGACCTCATCCCCACAAAATGGAGATATGAGAAATACATAATAGGCACTAGGCTGAGTGAGAGTACAGACAATAGACAAGGTGCTTGGCTTGTGCATATGTATGGTCACGGTTCAGATCCTCAGAGGAAAGAATATTGTTGCCCAAGCATTGAGCCATGAGTAGCCTTTGAGGACCATTGTGTGTGGTTGTCCAAAAAAAAATGCAGGGGTAGTGATTGGGTGGTGTTTATCAGCATAGCTATGGTACCTTGCTGTGACATGCTAACAGGGTTAACCTTTGATTTGTTATAGATGTTTATTTGAAACCTCTGCCTGGATTGCTAAGGGAAAGATCATAATTGTTTAGGTTACGCAGTTTTCTTTCCAGTATCAGTTGATACGGTGGTGAATGGTTGCCAAGGGTTATCTTCCTGGCCACAGTGCTCAGAAGTCTTGCTGAGGTTGTGGGTTGGGAAGATTCCCCCAGCTCTATGCTAGGGGGCATTAAAGATGGCTTTCTGCATGCAAAATATGTGCTTGGCCTGTTGAGCTATCTGTACAACCTTTACATCATTTTGTGGAATGTCCAGAAGTCTGTGATACCTGGACCACAGACAGCAGAGATTCCAGGGTTATGTTTGGTGCATGCAGATCACTGTCACTGTCCTCCCATTGTACATTGATTTGCTCGAGCGGGCCCAGTAACGTCTCCACTGTGACACTTGTTACTGTGTTTGGCATATCAGATATGTCACAGGTAGCTTGCCAGGCTTTGCCGTGTGGGCGAGATACTCTTGGTAGCTTGGCGGGCTCTCTGAGGGGGCGGAGGAATTGAACTCGGGTCGGCCATGTTGGCTGCATGCAAGGCAAATGCCCTACCACTGTGCTATCGCTAGTGCTGCAAATTCAGGGTTCATATTTAGGCCTCACACTTATAAGGCAGGCACTTTAAACTACCTGAGCTACATTAGTGCTCTGCAGGAACAGGATATTTAGAATATTGAGACTACAAAATTGAGAATACAGAATTTTATTTACTTGGTAAATACAAAAGACTGTAGATGTTGTGATTTATTGAGGAGACTTATAAATACTAAGTATATGCATTCCTTCTAATTCCGTCTTTTCTTTTAAGGTTCTCTCTTGAATTTGGCCAAACATGCGGCTTCTACCGTTCAGATTCTTGGAGCAGAAAAGGCACTCTTCAGAGCCCTCAAGTCTAGACGAGATACTCCTAAATATGGGCTCATTTATCATGCTTCACTTGTAGGCCAGTCAAGTCCCAAACACAAAGGAAAGGTGAGTTAGTTATTTATAGTAGGCTAATTTTTTTTCCCTTTCAAACAGCTTGTTTTTCCTCCTTTGTATTATGTAATAAGTAGTTTTAATCATTGGTAAGTCCTTTAAATAAAAAGCACTTTGTAAACTGAGATTGTTATTGCAAGACCAGAGAGATGGAGCAGGAGGTAAGGCACTTGCTTTTGACCCTGGTTCAAATCTTTGCACCATGTAAGGTTTTGTGAGTACTGCTGGGTGTGACCCAGAAACAAAAACTGGGGAGGGGGGAGATAGTACCATGAGTAGGGTACTTGCCTTGCATCCTGCTGACCCAGGTTCAATCCTCGGCACCCTTTTTAATAGTCCTATGAAACAATAGGTTCTTCTCTACAAATGAGGAACTTGTGAATTAGATAAAATAGTAAATTTTAAAGCAAAGTGATGAGAGAAAGAAAAGGTTCTTTTAGTTAGCTAAAATTTAATTAGCTTGAAAAAGAAACTTCAAATACACGAAAGAAGTGTTTCTCCCCCCCCCCCCCCCCCCCCCCCCCAACACACACACACACACCTAGCAGTGCTCAGGGCTTATTCTTGGCAGGTTCGGGGTCAAATGGGATGCTGGGGATCAAACTCAGGACTGCTTGGGGGAAAGGCAAACACTAGTCATTGCACCATCTCTCTGGCCCAGTATTTGAAACTATGTTACAAGAGAAAGGGACTACACTTCTCATGAGTCTAGAAATAATGTCAATCTACCAGAAACTTAAGAAAAACATTGGAATAGTCATGTGGACCAACCCTAGATGAACTGCTTTAAGATCATTTTGTCTGCCAAAATCATTGTGGTAAGGCACTATACCATAATTTAAATATAAAATAGGTGACTTGAATTGTTCAATTCATAATACTTTGTAATTCTTCAGTTTGAAAACACTAGAATGAATAGCAGAGTGGTGATTTTCTGATAAAATTAAGAGATTTTTATATCCCAGTTTGGAATGTAATTTGAATGCCTTTGTGCTTTCATGTTCTATTAGATTTCTCGAATGTTGGCAGCCAAGACTGTTCTGGCTATTCGGTATGATGCGTTCGGTGAAGATTCCAGTTCTGCCATGGGAGTTGAGAACAGAGCCAAATTAGAGGCCAGGTTAAGGACCTTGGAAGATAGAGGGGTAAGAAACATTCAGCCTATTGCAGAATTGTTATGTATTAAAAGTTAGTAAGCTCAGCAGTTTATGTGTGCAGAGGGATTTTTATTTAGCGAACCTTTTGTGAAATATTTATATGCATTGTATTGTTTTGGTGCTTGCTGTTTGGTTTTCCTTATAGCCACCAAAACTTGATGTGGGATAGAGTAATTGCAGTTAAACTGCTTTCTGGATAAGTTGGTAAAAGCAGATTATATATAAGGAGATTATGTATTAGAAAATCATTCATAATTTGCTCTGTAATCCTCTCGAACACATATCTCACTTGCTATCTCAATGTTTCTTTACCTGCCTATTTCTCTAAAGAAGCCTGTGTTCGCTCTCAATGTCTTTCTCTCTAACCTCATATCTTCCTAGATAAGTTTCAGTAAAATCTTGCTTCACTTAAAAGAGGAAAACATTAATATCTTTTCTTCTTTTAGATAAGGAAAATTAGTGGAACAGGAAAAGCTTTAGCAAAAGCAGAAAAATATGAACATAAAAGGTGAGTATATTTGTGGTAGCACTGTCCTTCCATTATTCATCGATTTGCTCGAGTGGGCACTCGTAACTTCTCCATTGTGAGACTTGTTACTGATTTTGGCATATCAAATATGTCATGGGTAGCTTGCTTCCCAGACTTTGCCATGCAGGCAGGATACTCTCAGTAGCTTGCCGGGCTTACCGAGAGGGACAGAGGAATCAAACCTGGGTCAGCTGCATGCAAGGCAGATGCCCTACCCCCATGCTATCGCAATATTTGTGGTAGAGAGATGAATGGTTTTTCTAATTTAAATGTTAATTATTGACTTTTTGGGGATGTCCACCAGTGTTTTGAGGCCCTGGAGGTGGTTAATGAAGAGAGAGGGTCTGAGTATGTTTTATTGCTCCTCGGGGACCATGTCATACTCTAACCACTGTTATATCTTCCCAACCCTAATTATTGGACAAATTTTACTTTTTTCTTTTTGGGTCACATCTAGTGATGCTCAGGTGTTATTCCTGACTCTACACTCAGAAATTACTTCTAGCAGTGCTCAGGGGAACATAGGATGCCAGGAATTAAATCTTACACAGTTGTGAGGTCTTGAGTTGGGTTTTTAGCACTACTTGGGCCCCTGAGCACTCCCAGGTATAATTTCTATATAAATAAAAGGGCTAGGTAGGGGGTTTAGTAGGAGATCAGTACTAGACTGTAAAAAAAGCTGTAGCCCCAATATAATTTTCTCATTTTATAAATTTTCCATTGTTAATATATAGTGACCACGTATTATGTGTTTAGAGAGGCTACTTCTGGCACAGTGTTCAGGGCACATTTATGACAGTGCTCAGGAGACCATGTGGTGTTGGGTGTTGAACTGGGGTCCAACCATATGAAAAGCAGCATTCCTGGTCTTACATTTTCCCTAATCTTTTGTTTTTTTCTTTTTGGGTTACACTCTGCAATGCACAGGGGTTACTCCTGGATCTGCACTCAGGAATTACTCCTGGCGGTGCTTGGGGGGACCATATGGGATGCTGGGGATCGAACTCAGGTCAGCTGCAGGCAAGGCAAATGCCCTACCTGCTGTGCTATCCGGCTCTAGCCCCCCAATCTCTATTTGTGTGGGGTTTTTTGTTACACATTTTTAGCCTATAAACTAAACATCCAGGAGTCTAATAGCTTAAGAGATAGACTTCCTTTGAGTAATTGTTTAGAGTAATTGTTTCAAATATTCCTTTGACATCATACTTCAAACTTTTTAGCACATTCAGTTAAAGCAAGTTACAAAATTAAGTTCACATTTACATACTTGTTATTTTGATTTTTTATTTTTGCCTTGTTAACAATTAAGCAGCCTTTTTAGTGAATCCAATGCAGTCAAGAGGAACAATCAATATGTATCTGTTGTTTGGCTGCCTCTTCAAAGGTCATTTTATTTGTTTTTGTTTGCTTGTTTTTAAGCATTTAATTTTATTATTTACTTTGGCTTTTTGGGTCACACCCAGCAATGCACAGGGGTTACTCCTGGTTCTGCACTAAGGAATTACTCCTGGTGGTGCTGGGGGACCATATGGAGTGCTGGGACTCGAACCCAGGTTGGCCGTGTGCAAGGCAAACAAACGCCCTCCGCAACGTGCAATTGCTCTAGCCCCGATTTTTTTTTTTCAGTCAAATTTCCCGGTGTTCTAAAGCCTAATTTGTAATCATTAGTATGAGGTTTCCTCTGTTTTCCCCATTAAAAATTTCCTTTACCATAATTACCATATTGATTAATCAGTTTACCTAGCTTATCTCTTTACGTTTCAAACATGAAATTTGAAACATGAAACATTAATCTTCTTTACCTTTGGAAACTGTTAGTATTCTTAAGTTGCCTCATGATTAAAGATAACAATTTAGAAAATCTGAGAGATGATACAGGGGTAGAACTTTTGGACTTGCTTGCCATCTACATGGATTTGATCCCCAATATCATTATTTATGGTTGGTCCCCTGAACACTGCCAGTAGCGATCCCTCTGCACACAGCCAGGTCTAAACCCTGAGCACTGTGGATGTGACCTGATAAAACCTAAAACAACATAGTATATTAATGAGATATCTAATGCTATTTGCCTTAAATTTTAAGGTCTTTTTAAACTTTTGGCTTTTTCAGTGAAGTGAAGACTTATGATCCATCTGGTGACTCTACACTGCCAACCTGTTCTAAAAAACGCAAGATAGAACAGGTAGATACAGAAGAAGTTATTGAAAAGAAAGCTAAAAAACCCAAGATTAAAATTAAAGGTTAGTTTTTAATTTTTAAAGTGTCACTTAACATTGCATAATTTAATAAATATGTGTTATTTATGTAGAAGTCTTTAACCTTTCTCCCCACTTTTGTTGTGGTTGTTTGTTTTGGGGCCTTACCCAGTGGTACCCAGGGGATCATGTAGTACAATTTTCCATACCCTTCTTTTAATTGTTCATTCATACGTTATGTTTGGAAATGTGACAGCAGGTCACATATCATGTTGTAGTGCTTTCTGAGCATAGCATTTCACGTTGGATGCTTAATCAGAATGAAGGGATTTTTACATCTCGTTTTTGTTTGGGAGCGACCCCAGTGGTGCTCAGGGATCAGTCCTGGTGGGCTCAGGATACTGGATGGGGTATTGGAGAGCAAACCTGGATCATCCACATACAAGAGAGCCTTAACTTGCTGTACTAACACATTGGTCCCCTGAAAATTTTTTATAATTAAACAGATTTTGGCAATGAAAGTGATACGTTGTTGGGGGCTAGAGTGATAGCACAGTGAATAGAGCATTTGCCTTGCACGTGGCTGACCTGGGTTCGATTCCTAGCATTCCTTATGGTCCCCTGAGCACCGCCAGGAGTAATTCCTGAGTGCAAAGCCAGGAGTAACCTCTGTGCATTGCCAGGTGTGACCAAAAAAGAAAAAAAATGATACCTTGTTAATTGTGTCTTTCGAATTTATCCCATTCAGTTGAAGAGGAGGAGGAGGAAGAGGCACCGGAGGAAGCAGCAATGGTAGTGGAAGAAGAACAGGAAACATCTGTGAAAAAGAAAAAGAAAAAAGACAAAAAGAAACACATAAAAGAAGAACCAGTTTCTGATGAGGAGCCATGCACCAGCACAACTGTTATTGTATGTCTGCTTTTAATGCTAATACATTTGCTCAGACTGGAATTTTGTATTTCATTTAGATGAAACTGGCCAGGTGGATTTTAATAAAACAATTTTTATTGGACCCAGGGCCACCTTGCTCTTATACTGAGTTATATCTCACGCCCCTTATATATCTAAATTTTAATATTTTTCCAGAGTTTTTAAAAGAACAGGTATCATTTATTTTTTCATAAGGAAAAGTTACTATTCACAGCTCTTTAAAAAGCATTCTTGTGATTCTTTTCAGAGTCCAGAGAAAAAGAAGAAAAAGAAAAAAAAGAGAGATAATGAGGACTAATGGAAGGGAACCATAATTGAATTCACCTGGATACATCATGCTTAAGACTGGAAGACTGGAGAAAACAAAGTGATTAATTAATTGTGTATATTTGTCACATAGCATAAACTGCTAACTTTAATATATCATTTCTTAGAGTCTTTGTTATACAAATAAAATATTTTCTTTGTATTTTAAGGCAGTTCTGTGATCTCTTTATATTAGGTAGAAAATCCTCAGCCCTTTTTTATATTTCAGCTAGCATTTGAAGATCATTGTTTTGCTAGTTAAGCCTAAGAAAAGAGTTGTGAATGGTTGACTTGAAATGGCTGTTTGCAGACAGTGACTCCATGGATCATTTTAAGAACCTCACTGTTTCTCTTGCCTTTTTGGACTGCCTTTCATTTTTTCCTTAATATTTTGTGTTAACTAACTAAAATTGTGTTCTGTGTTTTAGATTTAAAAGTAAGTGAGCAAAATGTATCAATGTATCTTCAAAAAGAAAACAAAACTGTGGATAAAGTTACTCTTTTTTGTAGTTTTTAAAAGTTGTATCAAAATAATTACTATACTTTAGACCCTGATTTGCTTCTAAAGTGATCCAAACTGACTTTTTAAAAGGTAATGCTTTGCTGAGAGATAATGCAGCTGGTAGGGTGCTTGCCTTGCACATAGCTGACATGGGTTCAATCCCCAGCATCCCTTTATGGTCCCTAAGCACTACCAGGTGTTATTCCTGAGTGCAGAGCCAGGAGTAAGCTCTGAGCACTACTGGGTGTGGCTCAGAAACCTAAACAAAAAGGTAATGCAAAATGATTTTACAGTATAAAGATGAAGGGGGAAAAGGGAAAAGAGTAGCCGGGAAAATACAGGAGTGAGGTTATAGACCAGTACAGAATACAAAAGCTTTGTTACTGAAAGATAGCTTTTATTGTGTGAGCAGTTAATGTGATTGATCTGGTTGATGGACATATCGCAACATTCACAGGACTTAAATGTGTGTTTTTTTTTTAATCATATCTGTGTATGCTACAGGCATACACACACTGAGTTTAAGTTCTAGGCATACTAAAATACCAATTTAGTGAACTGAAGAGGTACCATGGCAGATAGGGCGTTTGCCTTGCAGGCAACTGATCTCGGATTTACCTCTGGCATCCTATATATTCTCTTAAACCCCACCAGGAGTAATTCCTGAGCACTGCCAGGTGGAGCCCAGCGGCCAGTTTAAGCATTGTCTTTCTCTTCGATGGAGGGGCGGGAGGCAATAGTAACCTTGGGCGCAATTAGAGGGTTCTTTATTCACTTAATTTTTCTGAGTAGAGGTTAGTAGGGCAAGTAAGTTTGAAAAGCTTTCAGTGGTAAGGAATATCAACTGAAACTTCAAATCACTCAGAGCTCTCCCTCCAACTCCCCCACCATACAACCCTCACACCTGTTTTTTAAATAATGCTGGGAATCAAAGCCAGGGCCTCACATGCAAGGCAGGCATTCTGTCATTAACCCTACAGTCCCCAGTCCTTCAATGCTTCAGTTTACTAATTTGAAATGTCAAACACCTTTTATAGACAGTGGTTGGTTTCCAGAAAAATTAGCAAATTTGCATAAATGTAAATTCATTTCATGTTTAGATATTTTGAGGTAACTGCATGAAGTTACATGTACACAGTAAGCATAATTCTGTAATGAAGTTGATTATTTTGCTCCCCAGGGAGATGTTGTCATTTGTATCTCCTCACAGTACCCAGCCACATTATTGATTTTTAACATAAACAGACTTTTTCCCCCAACAGCATTGTATGAAAGTGGCGCTTGGCTGTTAATAAACTATCCCTGGTTGATTTCAGTAGTCTACAGGTTTGGGAAAAACTTTGAATCTGAGTTGCCAGCTGCCCTAAGTACTGAAGTCTTAGCTGTTTAAAACACTACCTAAGGGCCAGAGAGTGCAATGGTTAAGGCACTTAGCTAGCAGACAGTTAACCTCATTAGATCTGTACTGTGTGGTTTCCTGTACCACCAGGAGTTCTCTCTGAGTAAAACCTATCTCTGGCCGCTTTTGTCTATGTGAGAAACACCAAACTTGAAGCAGGTTACAAAAGCAAGTAAACTAGTACTAGAACATCATAGAAACAAAGCCCCAAAACATTTCTGTCTTAGCTTCAGTTGATTAAAAACTCGAAAGAATGTGGTGAATCTGTCTAAACCAGGTCACCATTTCTTCTCTTTGGAGTATTTCTAGTTTTTGATGGTCTTTATGTTGTTTCATTATAAACAAAACTACTGAATACCTTTGTTTATATTCATGTACTTGTGTTCATATAGGATAAATTTCTGTGTCAGGGATTAAGTGTAAAATAGTGCCAGTATGCCTTCAAAATATTCTAATTTGCATATTAAATTCAATATTGCTAAGAGAAAACTGCCATCAGGAGTTTTTTTCGGGGGGCTACACCTAGCAGTGTTCAGGGCTTACTCCTGGCACTGTGCTCAGGGATCATTCTTGGGTGGGTTGCGGGACCATATGGGTGCCATGAATCCCGGTCAGCTGTGTGCAAGGCAAGTGTCTTAACTGCTTTTTCTATCTGCTTCTATACTGTCTGTCAAGCCCCAGGAATTCTCTAGTAGTCATTTTCTCCTCCCCAGCACCTTAGAACACTGTAGTAAAATTAAAGAATTCATATATTGGGACATAGATGTGGCTTAGTGGTAGTTTACTTCCCTTATATTTATTTTATTTTTTTTGTTTTTTGGTTCACACCTGGCAATGCACAGGAGTTACTTCTGGTTCATGCACTCAGGAATCACTCCTGGCGGTGCTCAGGGGACCATATGGGATGCTGGGAATCGAACCCAGGTCGGCCGCGTGCAAGGCAAATGCCCTATCCGCTGTGTTATCACTCCAGCCCCCTTTTCCTTATATTTATGTGAGGCCCTATGTTTGATACCCAGCACTGAATAAAAAGATTCTTGAATTTAAGTGTCTTCCCTCCTTTGTCTCCCCTCAGCCCCTCTCAGCTTTGGGCTACATTCAGTGTTGCTCAGGGCTTCCACCTGGCTCTGCTTTGGGACTACTTCTCAAGGCTCGAGGAACCATTTGGGGTGCTGGGAATCAAACCCTTGTTGGGCATGTGTAAGCCAGGCATTGCCTCTACTTTCTTTGATCCCTGAACTAAGTATCTCTTGTTTTTTGTTGGGGGCTACATCTGGCAATGCTCAGGGGTTGTTCCTGGCTCTGGACTCAGGGATCAATCCTGTCAGTGCAAGGCAAACACCCAACCTGCTTTGCTCTTTATCTAGCTCTTGCCATTTATTTTATTTAGGTTTTTGCGCTGCACCCGGCAGTGCTCAGGGGCTACTCATGGTGGTCGCCTGGGAACTATGAAGGATCAAATCCGGCTGAGCCATGTGCGAAGTGTCTTTATCTGCAATAGTCTACAGTTCCTTAAGTATCTTTTTTTTTTTCTTTTTCGGTCACACCCAGCAATGCACAGGAGTTACTCCTGGCGGTGCTCAGGGGACCATATGGGATGCTGGGAATCGAACCTAGGTCGGCTACGTGCAAGGCAAACGCCCTACCCACTGTGCTATTGCTCCAGCTCCACCTTAAGTATCTCTTAACTGGATGATTTTCTCATTCTACGTCTCAAAATTTTATAGTCAAGCTGTATAAAAACTATTCAAGATTATAGTTTTCTGCTACTAACCCAAATAGGAAAATTGAGAAAAAAAACTATCCCTTCAATGTACTACCACTGTGCCTTGGCGGACTGTCAACTAAATAATAACTAGTAAATTAGTGTCCCTACCCAAGTTCATGTAATGAATTGACAACACTCTTCTGTTTGGTTAATTAAGGAAAATTTATGGAGTCATTTATTAAGCACTTTCATGTCAGGCACTGTATGTGATGCGTATACAGATGTTAATCAACTTGAGTTTTTCCTTTATGCTTGAAAATTAAGCCGCTTTTTTTTTAGGGCTATAGAGATATACTGTGGGTAAGGTGCTTGCCATGCCTGTGGCCACTCAGGTTCACATCTTATCCCCTGAGCTTTTCTGAGTGTGACCCACAAATCAAAAAGTAAATCTTAATTTTGATGTTAATTCCCTCTCCTCCACCACTGAACCTCATTAGGCTCTGACATTTAACCACCAGCCTTGTTTGCCACACCAAACTTGAAGGGGTTAAGCCACGCCTCCTTAAAGACTATTTCTGGCTCTGTTCAGGAGTGACCCCTGGTGGTACTTGGGAGACCATAGATGGTGCTATGGTTGGCTGTGATTTTTACCTCCTGTACTATTTTTCTGGCTCCGAAAGTCTTTCTTAAAAAGCAAATAAAACTATTTCCTTTTCAATTCTGAATTTTTTACTTCTGAAATTTTTCCAGTAAGATTTTGACATTCTTAGAGAGCATTTGGAAACTTCCCCTCCGGACCAGGAACTTGTTAACTAGCTGGGAGATCTCAAGGAAGCAGAAAATTTCTGTAGCCATTACTTTTTGTATTCACAGAGAAGCTCAAATCTTAGATACTGCTGATGAAGATCATATATTCTCATCCCATTTTAATTCCTTTAGTGTTTGAAGAGGGAAGCAACACGTAGAGATCTCAATAGGTGAGAAATTGAAATCATAAAGCAAGCCATAAAGAGAGATTTGAGTTTATGGTGTATCTCATTGTACCTCATCTTTCCTTTAAACTGCTTTTGGATGTCCTTTGAGATTGGGTCACCTGGTGTACTCATCTGAGAAACTGCTGTACTACAGAAATGGAGGGAGACCATTGTGTGTGTTCTTGGGACCTCAGAATTTCTGCCTTTCTGCCCTGAGCCAAAACTCAGAGAAGGCCTTGATTTTTTAGCAGTGGCAAATGTGCCTGACTCCAGGAAAAGAGTTGGTCAGACAACAAATACATCTATTTATATCTTTTAATCTGCTGGGCCAGCAGCATACTAATAACCAGCTGGGCATGATGCAGTGGCCACAAGCAGACTGACAGGATGGGAATACTTGTGCTAGTGGTCAGAAAATAATATACATGAAATTGCTGCATGAACCAAAATGTTATATAAAGTATTGTTGCTGTCAGGAGCTGGCTCCATCACTTACTAGTTCAGGTCTTAGGACAAGTCAACGTATGCTTTCCTTGAGTCTGTTTCTTCATTTATAGAATGGAAATAATTCTGTTATAGGTGTCTA